ATTTGGCGTATACACAGGTACCTGACAGACTTGCAATTGTTTATAGCCATTTTACACTAACAAATTGACGTCTGACAAAAAAACGTTATATACATTTCTTTCATGTTTTTTCCCGTAGAATCGATTGCCGCTATCAGTTTTTTGAAAATAATAACTTTTTGATAATTTGTTTAAATAATTTTTTATAAACAATTGAAAATGGCAAAAGAAAAAACACGGATATTTTTTTTTACGATTTAGCTACGATTGGAATAGTTAGTTTGGCGCTATCTTTCCAAGGTTTGGCCTGGGCCTTAATGGGTTAAAGCAACTGTTGCCAATTACAGTTCGAGGAACTCGAAGTGAAATATTAAGCCTTTGCGTTGTATACAGTAGATTTTGGAAATACTTCACCAAATTTTCACTAACTGCAAACATGAGAGATTTACCAAATGAAATAGAATTTTCCAAATTTTTATTAGATATTGGCAATGGAACATTGAATGATCAAAATGATTGTGTAAATCTTCCTGAACATTGTATACTTCCACCAACTTTTAACATAATTGATGATACATTTGGTATATTAATGAAAGAAAACAAGTTCCAAGATATGTGTAAATGCTCTATATTATCGGTTAGAAATGTTGACGTAGACGACATTAATAAACAAATTACTAACTTATTAAATAAAGATTCTAAACGTATATATACTGCCATCGATGTCGTTAATAACAATGGTGAATTAGATGATCTTATTTTACCCAAATATTTGCACAATTTAAATCCAACAAGTTCACCTCTTCATGAATTACGCTTAAAAAAAAATTGTATTATAATACTCATCAGAAATATCAGTATTAATGAAGGTTTGTGTAATGGAACGAGATTGCAAATAATCGACTTATCAAACCATTTAATAAAATGTAAAATTTTAACAGGCGATAAAACTAACGAAGTTATATTTTTAAATCGTATAACGTTGTATTCTGAAAATGATTATCCATTTTTATTTAAGAGAAGACAATTTCCAATCAAATTGGCTTTTGCAATGACAATCAATAAAGCTCAAAGACAAACTTTTAATAAAACGACTGTAGATCTTAGAAGAGACGTATTTAACCATGGACAACTTTATATTGCAATGTCTAGAATTCGATCTTGGGATTCTATCAAAATATACTTAGGAAATTATGTACATTTAAGAAAAGTTAAAAATCTCGTGTACAAAAAACTATACCAAAAATAATTCACAATTTGCAAATTATATAAATTTCTGTTCCGTCGTCACGGAAAGAGAGAGAGAGCGTATGTGTGTGTGTGCGACTTGTAGGTGCGCCCCGAAGTGGCGGCGCCACCTACTTGCGCGCGCGTTCGTCTTTTCTCGCTCGCACAAAAAGAAGGGGAGGGAACGGGTTCGCGCGCGTTTTTAAGTCTGTAGGTCACGGCCAGCACGAGAGGAAGGAAGCAAGACCAGAACGTGAGGAAGTCATCGTGCGAGACAAAGGAGATCGCACCCGCCGATCTCACGCGTCCGGAAAATACGAAAATCGCAGAAAAACGTACTGCGTACCGCGACGCGAGTTTCGCAATCAAAGTCGCGAGCGAATCCGCCGTGAAAATTCCGTCCATAAAACAACTAAACGAGGGTCGACCACGTCGACAGCGCCTGCGGGCCATCATTTCTACAAGTGTGAGTGAGTGCGGTGTGCGGGAGCTCCCCGGGTTCGGGTCGCGTTCGTGCGCGTCGTGCGTGCTGTCACGAGGCAGCCGGTTTTTCCGCGCGCGCGTGCGGGCTGCGAAAAGCCACGCGATCGCCGCTTTTCCCGCGCGCGCCGTAGTACGGCCACGAGACTGCCATTTTTGTGTGCGATTATACAAAGACTTTTATGCGTGCGTGCGAGCGAGTCAAACCCGTCACGTCACCTCTTGCAAAAGCGTTTTGTTCCTTTGTTTTTACATTCAATTCTAATTGCGAGTTCTTTGTCATCTGATATTTTTGATTTCTCATTTTTTCTTTTTTTTTTGTGTGTTGTGTTCAAATAAATGGGTTTTTTATGCCGCAAGGCTTTTTCCCAAAATACGTGAGATTCATTTCGAAAACCTTAATCATTTTCAAATAAATTTTAATAGTGCTGACATGCCACCTAGGGTATGCCAGGGTTCAATCAAATAATTTCAATTTCAATAAATTGAAAACTGTAAATTATTCTTGGTACTTACGTGCAATAACATATCAAGGAATGCGAGACTGAATAATATGTGGTGCATACTTATAAATTATTTTTAAATAAATCTTTTTATTAAATATAGTTATTACAATACACTTGAAAAAAAAAAATTACAGCGCGCGTAGCGCGCTCATTGTTTCTAGTAGCAATAAAACACCAATTGCGATTTAATTACCGTTTACTATCAGAAGTTGATTCTAATTGTTCTGGAATAAAACTAGACAAATATATATGAGAGTTCAGAATATTCCAAAATATTTTTCTGTTTACATGTACTGTACCCAATACTGTTAGATACTCTAAAACACTATTTATACTTTAAAACATTTCGAGCATAAAAGTAAATGATATTACAATAAATCATATCATGATTCCAAATGAATATTGACCTCTATTCTTGTATTTAAAAAACACTGTAATACAAGAAAAAGAATTTTTTATAATTTTGCAACAACTTTTAAATATAAGCTTTATAGTCATTCTAATTTGTATGAACATGGTTCATTTAAATTTAATTGGACTTTATCAACAAATATTAATTTGTATAGTTTTATCCTAACGCATATCATTACAACTTATAACGGTAAAATGCTTATAATAAAAATTGGTTTCAATAAATTGAATAGAATTCCTTTAAATGTTGTTATAATATATACTAAAATATTACAAATGTCAATTAAACTGTATTAATAAAATAAATTTTGAAACAATATTCTATACTTTGTATAGAGCTTCAAATTACTTCAGAAAACTAACTTCAAAAATTTATTTTTATATAATTTTTACTATAAAATTTCATAATTTTTTATCTAATTTTTTCATGTATATTTCATTGCTTTAACTATTGTTAAATATATATATTTCCATCTTGAAAAGTTTGTCATAATAATTTAATCCAATACTTCTAATCGAACAAAAAATATAAGAAGAAATTTTACGATGAATTGTCACCTGAACTTTAATTTTTATGTCCATGTCACTTTCATTTCCTGGATTATGATACATCACCGTAATTTTTCCTTTAACTATCTCCATCATTTTATGAATATATTTTTTCCATGTATAATTACAAACTGCCGATTATAAATTTTATGTAGAGATGTCATTTCTATCTCTCTATCTGGATCTGTTATAGCTTCAATTTGAATACTTATTGTTAATAAATTAATATTGATACTTATAATTAATTTATCAAATTCATAGAAGGGATTTAATTAGAAATATCTTTATTTATATGGTACACAGTAATATGTTTTTTTCTAAAATATACAGACTAAATACCATCTTGATAAAATTTCATTGTTTCTTCAATTTGAAAGTATTTGTCTAAAAAAATAAATTTGACATAACGCTATGAAATAACGTATTTTGAAATGTAAAATGTTAATAATTCTTAATGTTTTCAACAATTCATGTTTGGTGAATTTTCTTTCAATAAATGCATAATTATCTCGAAGACAAATCCACTGTTTTATTGTGATACTTATTCTCTATGTTCAAGCAAATTAAAATTTTTATTTTGTAATAACATGAACACTATACATTGGGCTTGTCAAGATAAGCTTCAGTTATTTCTTGACATAACATTAATTTCATTTCTTAATAATTTCTAAGAATACATATTATTTCATTTTCAGAAAGCAAAATGACTCTAATAACAATTGATAATGATTATAGAGAACACAAACCCAAACGTTTTGATGTCTGTTTAAATTTGTAATAAAAACCTAATATAATAGTCTAAAAAATCAAAAATAAACCAAATTAATATTTATATAAGTAAATTGTTACTGCAAAACTGGAAATATTTTCAGATTATAAATTATAGAGCACATACATAAGCAGCAAGTAAAGAGCAATAAACTTTTTCATTATTTATTAAGATCACATGTTTTTAAAGTAACGCAATATTTTATTCCTATGAATTTGATGAATATTACTTATAAGTTCCAAAATTAATTTATTAAAAGTAAATAACTATTTGATTAAAACAAAGCTGTAAAAGATAGACAGAAAAAAATTGATATTTATATGAAACATTATAAACCCTCAATGATCAGTACAAACCGTGATGTTGAAAGAGTGAACTATTCAATGTCAAACCACAAGAAATGCTGTCTTAACTTCATTTATTGCTAACTACATATCTTATGTAGTAGATAACACATTTTTTATTTCTGTTTTCAACAAAAAAATGTTGAAAAAATAACATTTTAGATAAAATTTCAAATTTTTAAGTTATAAGTTAATATTTATAAGAAAAAGGTGATAAAATTGTTATTAAGAGACTAATTGGGTTTTATTAATTATAGTTTTTTATTACTTATTGTTATAAGTATTAAAAAGATGGTCATCCTAATAAGTTCAATACTTATTGAATATTTACTTTCAAATAAGGATTACTTTTATTTAATCGTTAATAACTTTTGAGAAAATGAGCATATTAATTTGAAAAGTGGCAGATTTTTATATTAAAGTATTTTAAGATTGTATTGGAAAACAATAAACTTAAGTGTACCTTTTTTCAAAATCACATTTTGTTATAAGCACAGCTCCAATTTTTAATCTTACAAGTCAAAACATTCTGTAATTCGGGTATACTCCTTATATGCACGGAGTAGCAGCGCGTCAGTTGCTTCCGATCAGCTGATTGGCCAAACATTACACTTGCAACTGTACCGTAATTAAACTTATAGTGCATTCGCACGCGGAAATTCATAAATACAAAAAACAAATAAGATACTATTGAAGCGTTATGGAAAAAAGAAAACTGCCATTTCAATTACTCACTTTTCATATACAGCATCTTCGCCGCAGCACTTCCGTATTCGGGGTTTAGCTATGGTCACAGCGGTAAGGTGGCTATGATTGTTTGGTTTACAAACAAGTAAACTCTTACCGCCGAGGCAGTACTCATCGGGCTTAAGGGTGGGTTTGGAGCCAAGCTCAAGGGCTACCTCACCAAAGTCAAACACAATAAAAGGGTTATAGTTGCTAGGAGGCACGTAACGCAACTTCTGTGAATTAGGGCAACGAGGTTGTGTGGCTTCATGCACTTTCCACCACTTAGGTATCTCCGGTAAGAAATCACCCTTCTCTGGCGAGTAAATAGTTGGTAGGAACACCTTGTTTGTAGGCACGCAATCGGGTGTCTTGTCAGATCCGACTTCGGGTTCGCCTAAATCCTCTCCTATACGGCAGCATCGCATCACATTCACTTCTGAGTCGTTGACATCTGCCGCTATTGCTTGATAGTCATATAGAAATAGACATAACACCATTAGTAGTTGACCTCGCAATCGTGAGGAAGCAATCATTTTATTTTAACGTTTTTTTGACATGTAACCCTATTTGCCTGCTCAAATCAACACTACATCATCCGTTGAGAATGCTCGGTGCAATCACTTTAGCACCACCTTGTGGATCTCCTGTCTTTCCCGGCTGCCTGCCTCTGTCTCTTCTCTTTTGTTCTATAGCTCTCCGTCTTCGAACAAAGTTGTTGCCACACTATAAAGATTTGTGTACCTGAAATGTCTACTAGTCATGCACCAATCGAATTATTTGGTACATGATTATAGACTATTTTATTTCGGACATAAAAATTTATATTTAAAAACGTAAACATTAATGTCGCGAACGGATATAAGATCGAGTGTAATAACATTACCTTTACCCACCGAGCGACTTGTTAATACTGGCTTGGGTATTGGTAATTTTGCCCTCTGCCTTTCTCTCTACTGTCTATCTACCATCTCTCTCTCTCTCTCTCTCTCTCTCTCTCTCTCTCTCTCTCTCTCTCTCTCTCTCTCTCTCTCGCTCTCTCGCTCTCTCTCTCTCTCTCGCTCTCTCGCTCTCTCTCTCTCTCTTTTAAAAGCATGCAGTACGGACCGGCAATGGACTCGGTTTAGCTCGGCTTTATTCGGCCATTCGCAATTCCGCTTGATAAAAAATGCGCGCGCAATTCTGCTTACTTTTTCATTTGTATTTGCCTTCGATCTTTTCGCTCTCATGAGAGCTAAAAGATATATATATATATATATATATATATATATATATATATATATATATATATATATCTCCTTTTTCTTAAAAGAATGATAAGAATGAAAAGTGCGCATATATTCAAAATTTTAATTTTAATTTTTTTTTATTTTAATTAATTTTTAATTTTTATTTTTAATTTTAATAATTTAGTTATATTAAATTTATATCAAAATAGAATTGATTATTTTAATTTTGATACTCAAGATACTTAAGATTTAGATTAAGTGTGGTAAGTTGGTTTTAAAGTACATCATCAAGTAAGTATCGCACCGTCGCACGCATTACTGTTACGTCACATGTGGTCAACAGTGCGTTAGTTTAGTACGTGTAATAATAAGCAATTAGCAAAATCAAATATATTGTCGCATGGTCGATGAGATTAAGCCACGTTTAATTTAATTAATAAATAATCCATCAATATTGTTGACATCGTTTCATTTAGAACCAAAGAAGGTAAGTTATTATTTCAAAATACAAAATATGCATTTATAATATAAATTATTTAGTTTTAGTGCGGGTACTATATGATTATAATATAAATCTATAAATTACAAATGTTATAACCTCGAAATCTCTTTCATCGGCGAATGAACACGTGTTACGCATATATAGTATAAAAGCGTTTGGATTTTTTAATTTGTTTAAGTTTATATAAAAATATTCAATTCTATGTAATAGTGCTTGATTATGTATTTTTCTGAATTTCTGAATTGAAAAAGGAATTAAGTAATAAACTCATTATAATAAAATGATTGTTTCATAGTTATTGTACAAAACTAATTTTACATTTTAAAATATTATAGTTATGGATATGAACGAGGAAAATTTTACTGCGGCTGATTATACATCGTGTGAGGATTTGAAGGTAATTGAACCAGAAGACAAAACAGTGTATATGTGGCGGTCACGCCAAGCTTACAACAGCTGCCACAAGAGGTCAGCACTCCGCAGTCGTCGGCAACAAGGCGGCGCAAACAAGCGCTCGTTCCCCGCAGCGAATTCACGTAGCAGCAGTCCGTCTCTCACCGGCGCTCGAGGCAGTTGGCGACGCCTTTGCCAACTTCTCGTGGCAACTATTTGGTTGCTGTAGCGCTAAGAGAGTAGCTCAGTTAATTCACATTTGAATTCCTCTAGCTCAGGGAATCAAACAAACAAGTAAACAGTGTAAATAGAGATTACATCAGTCTACTGTAATCAAAATCGAAATAAAGTTCAGTCTTAATTAAATCAATCAAAGTGTCAAATTATTCCTCAGCGTGCGAAGCAACCTTCTACATATATATAAATTTTTTCTTGATATTATATTACTTGAATTTTTTTATATTATATTATTTCATCGCTAAATAAATTGTTGTAGGGAAATTATAGGTTATATTGAATCTCTTATTGCTCCATCAGAAGTCGGTAAAGAAAAAAAATATAACCTTTTTAAAGTAATTATCAGTAATGGCACTATGAAAGTTACCCTTTTAATTTGGGGAAAAGAAATGATTAAGAAATACGAGGATCTTATGAAATTGAATAAGGTAAAAATAAAATAAGTATAATTTTGACTGATCACGTTTAAACTATTTTAAATATTTTCAGATTATTCATGTTGAAAAGGCGCATTCGAAAATAGCTAATGTCAATTTTGTGAAAGACGAAAAAATGTTAAAGATTGAACTTTTAATCAAACCTGAAACAATTATCAAGATCTGTGGAACACATGGTTTGGTTGATAATAAAGGTGAAGACATTCCAAGCGTAGTAAATTTTTCTACAATAGCTGACATTACTGGACCAATAGGTACGTTTATGAAATTGGAATAAAAGTACTAATAACTTAGCTTTCTTAATACTTCTTAAACTTCTTTCTTATACTTTTTGAAAATTGCTTTTTTCTTTCTTATATAAAAAAATATATAACTATATGTATTCATAATAATTATCTATCCTTATTACCGCAGTTCTCGAGGGCTATTTGAAAACAGAAATAAGCATTCATAGCAATAACAAAAATACAATGAGTTCTGGAATAGGAGCAATAACTAATGGCTCAGAAAAAGTCAACATTCAAATTACTCAATTTGCATCTTCTAATATTTCAAAAGGCACTAAAATCAAAGTACATGGAACTGTAAAGAAAAATGGTAAATAAGCACAAATAATTTGATATTAATTATAATAATAGCAGAGTTTCTAAATTTTACGAATAAACTATTAATATAATAAAATTTTCATTGATTTTCAGAAATTCCTATTAAAATTTATTGTGAAGATATGAACTGCATTCATTTTATGGAAAATGAGCGACCAATGTCTATGGAACAACTTAGGCGTGGCGTTAAGACACCAAGAAAAGCACTTGAAGAAGTCAATAGTAATTTAGTTTTACCGCCACTAGCCAAAAAAATGTATCTTGGTGAAAATACTGAAAATGAAAAGCCAATGGAGTCAGCAGTTTAAGATTATTTAATTAAAAGAATTTATATTGTTTCTTTTGTCTAACATAAATTATGTTTGCATACTATATTCATATTATTCTAAATTACTTTTTACTATTTTATAAAAATTATTTATTTAATTTAACTTATATTTATTTAACTTATCTGTACATACTATAAAAAGATATGTAAATAATTATCATTAGTATATTTATACTGACAGTATCAAGACTAAATGTTGATAGTCGTAGTTATAGTTGAGATATATATTTATAAAAGTTGTAACGGGGTAAAACCGTTTAATTATTTTATTCGCGCAATTATACTAAAAGGACGCGCGTAATTATTTATGCTCAATACATAAATCGGAGAGCATGTGGAAACGTGCGTCAGTCAACCAGTAAGTCCTCTAAGCTAAGGGAAGTGAGTGGAAGCTATTTGAAATGAGCGAGTCGAAAAATAGTAGTTAATAACACGGACGGAGCCTTTTATTACCATTCAAATACTACACAAAGTCGGCCCGCGCGTTTGTTTACATTGACGCTCGCTCATCGACAATACGTTTTGCCGGGACGCTCGCTGCTCTTTGTTATTAGAGTCACCGCACGCTCGTTTCGGATGTCGGAAATTAATAATCAATCATGCAACCGCGATCGCGAAATTAAGCTGGCCAGCTTACCTTATAATTGCAGGCGATCGAAGGAAGCACAGACAAACCGCACAACGCAGAAGAGTTTTTAATTGTTTGTCGCCGGTCGCGAACACGCGCGCACGGATATGGTTTCGCCCTCGATGGCGAAACCTCACACACACACTCGTCCTGGCGTCGAACTGGTAGCTGGATGGCACCTTGGCGGCTACAATCTCAGATAACTGGCTGCTACTGCTTTAGAGTGTTGCGGTTGATGACTCGTGAATCGGCGATAACGATAGCGAAAACGGTTGGACACAACGATGGTCTAAGCTTCACTAGTTCGGTTTCAATCGCGTGCGTTCCGTCTGCTCGCGTGCCGAATTCCTTAGTTACGAATTTCGTCCCCCCGGCAGGTGCTGCCCTCACAGGCAGCAATTAAGCTAAATAATCAGCGCTAATTTGACGTTTACCGTCACAAAGTATATTAAAGGGTTAATTATGAACAAGTAGATAATAACTACATATTGTCAATTAAAAATATATTTGTGATAAATTATAATAACGAATATGTATTATTAATTGTTAAAAAATTAATTAAGTAGATAAAAAATTTAATAAAGTTTTCTACCCCTTTCAAAATAAAACTATCTATTTCTTTCTATATTTTCTACCCCTTCCAAAATAAAAATATTTATTTCTTTATAATTTCTATGAATACGTTAGTCTATTTCTATATGTGTGTGTGTGTGCTCTGAAATCGCCTAATAATCAAATATGAAATGAGTTAAGCTGATTTTACTTTATATTTTCGTTTGAATATTAAAATTCTATTTATATCAACATTAATGAAACATTTAGCCATATACAGCAATAACATGTATTCTAATTCTTTTTGTAGATCATTGTCATTCTCTTATATATATTAAATTATATTATTATTATTCTCTTATTATTATTAAATCGAATAAACGGTAAACACTTAGAAATATGAAACTATTAAAATATATACGAATAATTTACAAATAAAATAAAATCACCTGTCTTATATCTTTGGAGTTTCGTGCGTGGGGCAAATGAAACTGCCATCTATTCTGTACGAGATAAAATAAATATTTATTGCTCTTAAACACTAAATACAAAACTGCTCGTATTAGCGAGCGAGCAATCGGGAGAGAGCGGTCAAGCGTGAGGGCACTTGGGCCATCGGGACGAAAGAAGATGAGTTGGCAAAAGAAAGACAGCCGCGCGGGCTCAACCTCTGCTACCGCTGGAGTTGCTGCTGGTGCTGCTGTCTGGCGTGCGAAGTGGGAGACGGCTGAGTCCCTACATATCTATCGATTTAATGGAATATTGTTATAATTTAAATTTCAGCAAATTTAAACCACCACAATAGTTATCACCAATGGTTGTGCACATGCGTACTCCGATCAATATTACATTTTAATATTGTGATAATCGCTATTTATTTGTCTATAATATAAAATGTGAAAAGAAATACAGGTTATTTAATATTTCAGTGTATCATAAAAATACAAATTTAATACCTATGAAAAGTAATAAAAACAACAGTTAACAATATCAATAATTAAGCTGCAGTAAGTACTGAGTACATTTTTTGTGCA